TATATTTGCATATATATGCGTATATAACTATTGTTGCCGTCTCCTTCTTTACATATATAATATATATATATAAATGAAGATACAAAAATATTCATCTCATGGGGCCTGTCGTTGCTCTCTGCTGACCCCGCTGATATTTCGCATATATATATATACATATATATATATATATGTTAAATGGGTTATGTTGTGTGATACAACATATGAGGCTTGACGGTTACGAAGGTCTCACTAGCCAAAGTCTCAGCAGTATCGGTTATTCTATTGAGTTTCCCTCGTGTCTCTAGAGCTGTTCGTTCTGGAAGCATTATATTTTTGTTTAAGTAATAATATTCTGGGGCGTATATGCGCGGCCATGCATACCCATACACCCCATCTGGGGTTGGTTGTGCATACACCTCATTCTTGCTGCATTTTGCTTGTGTCTTGTACGGACATACATTTCTATGCTGTGTATATACACTCAAAAAAGCCTCCTTTCCTTCCTTTTATTTGCAGCTTCCGCCTATTCCTTCTACCTATTCAGCTGAACTCAGACGCATCATCACCAGCATGCTGCGCAGATGCCCCGAACAAAGAGCAACTGCCGCTGAGATTCTGGAAACGCCTCTCATGCAGGTGTCTGTACACCCGAACCCGTAAACCCTCAGGCATAAACCCTCATTCTTACGCCTCCTCAACCCTAATTGCAACCAGTAGCAGTAGCTGCTGGTTAAATCGAGCGAGGGTGTGCGCTCTCAGGCGGCAATAAGAGATATGATAAAGGACTCAAAGAAACAGCAATCCAGCAGTTAGGCTCGTCCCTGCTGCCTCCTCTTCTCCCTCCCTCACCTATCTTCTAACTGTCTCCTCTTCCGAATGGCCTAACTGGCCCCTGTCTCTTCCAATTCTGTCTCTTTTCTCTTTCTGCTATGTCGCATCCTTCATTCTAGGCTTTCTCCTCTCTTTATGTTGTCTGTCTGTTTGTCTGTCCTCGCTTTTTGTTCTGTCTGTCTGTTTCTCTCTCTCTTTCTCTCTCTCTCTCTCCATCTATCTATCTATCTACATATCTATCAATCTCTATCTCTCTCTCTCTCGCTCTCTTTGTTCTGTCTCCTCTACTTATCGTACGCCTCCCTTCTCTATGTTGTTTACTCCCTGTGTATTTTGTCTCCTTTCTCTGTGTTCTGTCTCCTTTGCGTTTCCTTCCCTTTTGCTTCCCTTTCATCTCTTCGTCCTCAACTCCTTTCTGTCTACTCCTATTTTTCTCTTTTTCCTTTTTCTGGAGAAGCCTTTAGAGCTGTTGCTGGCGCACAGCGCGTCGGCCGACGCCGCTCAAACGAAATGTTGTCTGTTTCATTGAATTATCAGCCGAGAAGAGCAGAAATGAAACAAATAGAAGAAAGAGCCAACAGAAATACCGCTAGGCCAGAGGAAACAAAGACAAATACATGCGTGTTCGTTATAAATACGGAAATCTGCGTACGATAAGGACCCAAACAGACAAAAAACTACACAAAAAACACAGCAATCAACTGGCTTAAAGACAAAACAAAACAAGCACACAAACCCTCAACGCAGCAACACACAGAATACCGCCTCCTTCCATAAGTCCGTCTGCACCGTCATCAGCCTGCAAATTCAGGTGTACGTCCACCGCAGCAACACACAGAAGAGAAGAGCAGTAGCAAATATATATACATATGTATATATATATATATCCTATATAGGTTGAAAAGAAAGCTGCTTGCACAATATCTCACCTGGAGTCCGGAGAAGCAGCACTAGTGAATATTAGAGAAGGCCTTTTCCCAGCTGTCTCGGCAGCTCGACATAGACTGCGCAACGCCCAAGAGCTCAGGTCTACAGGCAGCAGCAACGAAGTTGCTAATAAACCCCCTTTCTCAACAAGTGCTGCTGCTGCACTCCACTGAGACTCAAGACCCCGCAAAGACGGCCGAAACCAACGCCCAAACTGCCCGCCTCTCTCCGCAGCAGAGAAGCGCACGTTGGGATTCAGGTGTATATACACCCCGCGGAACCTGCAAGCATCCACACACTGTGCATGCGGCTGCTGTTTCAACTCGTGCATGCGTGCAAGCAGCAACCAAGGGACGCGCACACGCCTCTGCTGTCAAAAGAAGTATTTTTGTTTTATTGTTAGGTGCCTGTGCGTGCAGCCGTAAGCATGGGGGCTGGTAAGTTTTAGTAAGTCTTTGCAATCTGCTGACGGTTTTAATATCTGCATACTGCTGTTCTCAAGCCAGAAGAGAGGAAGACGTGAGGCCCACCTGAGCGCAGATGCTTTCATGCTTGTGAGCTCCTTCAAAAGGTCTTCGGTGTGAATGCAGGAGACCGCGGAGGAGAGTTCGTTTGCTGCTGCGGCCTGTTCGTCGAGTGCATGCACAGTGTGCGATGTATTTAGCAGCACAAGGCTCGAAGCACCTTCTTGCTGAGCTGGAGAGACAGGTGTTGGTGTTCTGTCGAGTTTGCTTTTCACGTTTTGTCCTGAGTGCCCCTCATGCTGGACGGCGGAGCTGCTGAAGCCACTCCTGCTCTTGTTGCTGCTGCAGCAGCCGATCCCGATCCCCTTGGAGGATCCGTTCACTGACAACACCGTCGCGCCCGCGCAGTGTCTGCGCAGCAGCGGCAGTAGCTGCAGACTGTGGCGCGAGAAAGCAGCAAAGGGAGGGAAGAATAAATGCACGGGGTGAGACAAACCAAATACAGAAACCCAAGAGATGGGATCCGATCCCAGCACAAGCTCGCTGGCGTACTCCGCCCCGCCCTGACACAAGTACACGCATCCATCGAGCAATACTTCTTAAAAATCTAATATTTGAAATAATCCAAAAACATTCATGAAAAAGAATTTCTTGAATGATGTTCTTTCAAACAATACTTTTTTTAAAAATTAAAGTTTTTGCATGCCATCAATCATATGCTTGAAGCGCCAATCAACTAGTACTTCATAAGAAAACATAATGTGAATATCAGTCGAGAAACGCTTGCAAAGGCAAGCGCTCCTCAACTGATATTCACATTATAAATAATACTTCTTATAAATATGCAAATAACATTCAAAACAGCCAACGCAGAAACGCATAGAGAGTT